TCCGGAGGCCATGGTAATTACATTTACAATAAATTAATGAACCAGTCACGACCAAGTTGTTAGCTTGGACTGTGAATTTGAAGAATCACGTTTGGCGACCCATTGCCTCACAAACGTGCTTTGCATTTTGAGAGCGTTGGTGCGTTATAACAGCAATGGTCAAGCCCCTTGTTCGTCAGGACAAGAGTAACTCGAGAGTTGGCGGTGGATGCTGTCGACTTCATACAGTTTCTCTAGTCCATCCGTTCAAAATTAGGGATGGCTAAGTGCAGATAGGCCTTGTGTACTTTACGCAAAATTTTAAAACAAATTAATTATACTGAGCAACTAAACGTCTTGGCTATTTGTCGTTATTGATTATCCATATATTATCGCCATCTAGTGCCATTTTAAATTAATAACAAAAATATTACAGCAAGACACGACTGTAGCTTGAATATGGTACAATTTGAACAAATTAAAATCATCGCACACTTTAATTATGCAAGTTTATACGACAGAACAAATGATTCACTATATGTATAAACTATTCATTTCACTGTTCCTGAAATCTCACTGCATATATGTCGCTAAAGGCCTCTATGAATATCTTGTATAGTGAAAACCTCAGAAGCTGGTACTACCTCCACTTTTAACATGTTATAATAAAAACTGAGAAGCCATACGTTCATTAATAAATTAAATTAAAATGTCATAATTAACTGCGCTATATGATTTTGATAAAACTCCGAGTTACGAGCACACATTCTGAATTATTCGGATAAAACAGAAATAACCACAGAATTTCTTCCCTATTTAACAAATTCTTATTTTTATAAATATCACGACGTAACACATTATTTTGCTGTTATATTTGTGTAACTTAGCAATACACTTAATGAGAAACGTGCTCCACAAGTTATTTTTTATCATATCCTTAACGTTTGTTAGGAATTGCGCGCAAAGCTATACGAGGGCTAGCGAGTCAAATGCCTTAAGCACCTGGCCATGCCAGGCCTTTTCCTCTACCCACCAATTTTTTATGTTGTCGATAATACACCGCGTTTTTTATTACAACAATGAGAGAGGTAATAAAATCGGTTATAAATAAACTGGATATTGATTTATAATCAATCATTGAGTTGCTTTTGAGTTATCATTTTTGTAGAATGTTTACTGTTGATTTGATAATTAAACGTGTATTGTTTCCGAGTGCTTAAATGCACAAGTCCTAAGAATACGATGTATTATTGTTTTGTAGCAACTTAACTGAGTTGTGTGTACAGTTCGCTTAATTAAACGGTTTGAAAAGTCTCTTATTCTTAAAAGCTTCGCGTAAGCTAACACTAAAGTAACTGATACATCTTTTATTTTCAAAAGCTTCGTACAAGTTAACACTAAATCGGATGTGTTTTTATGTTGAGATGACGACAAAAAAAAAAAAAAGATGGACATTTCGTAGGTATGTTAAAAACGATTTTTTTTTTCACGTGGGATATTTTTCCAGTCGTTGCAGTTCACTTTTATTATCGTTATACCTCAGAACAGTTGTCAGACAACGTAATGGAAAATAAGTTGTTGTTTGTAACTTTTAATCCGTGACGCGGTGAAACTTTTTAAAGAAAGTGTATTGCTTCAAGCACTCTAAGTAGCTGTAGTTTATGTAAGCACGTGTCGTATGGAATATACATACACAGGTTTCTAAGTAATGTACTAAACAAATAAAAATCAAGTCAGCATTTCACCAAAATATTCCGTGCAATCTTGTAACTTAAGTTTGTTAATTATGTTTTATAAATGTTCTTAAATATTTAACACGGTCACGTAGGCAAATCTTTATAGCTAAATACAACCTTTGTGCTGTAATTATGCACGATCAAATATCCAAATAAACTGTAATAATGATGGTTGTTTCTATAGGTTCACAGTTTTAAGACACCACTTAGATGTGTTTTTGGAGTTTCCTGCTATATTCGGCGTTTTTCTTATACTTTTCACGTCTTTTTAAAAATCAATTTTAACTTTGGGCAGTGGTGGACATCATAAGTTAACCCGCAAGACTCGTGTGCCATCCTCATACAGTCCACAAGCGACGCAAGACCCGTTTACCAGTCATAAGCCAAATAGGATATTTTTGAATAAAAATTAGCTTTGTATGAAATATATTGGACTTTTAATTACTCTCTCTCTCTTTACCGACGATCTTCAAAAATAATTGAAGTTTACATATTAATTTCCTAACTTTAACACACCTGGATTTAGCCTACTACCACTTACAAATAGCATTAACCCTTGCAAACAACTCCCGCTGTTTCAAGATTTTAAATAAGATGCAGGGGTGTCTCAGATTGACCCCACCCCCACTAGAGAGCTACGGATCATTTCCCACCACTGGTTTTGGGCGTATGTAGTTACAAGTATGTGTGATTGTATGTATGCAAACACACACATACCAAGTTTTTAAGTAACGCAGTAAACAAACAAGTACTATGTTTCGTGTATAACATGCGTTCAAATCACCCACAAGTTATATGATAACAGGATAAGCGCCGGTTTGTAAAGAACTTTCTCTATCCATATCATAAATTACCAAGTTAACAAAGCATGTCTAAATAAAAACGGGTCAATACATTTATAATTTGTACCATACTTTATTATGCCTATCATAAACATGAAATTAACATATCCAAATAAAAAGGGTCAGCACAATTATAATATCTACCACCATTCAATTCATTACGTTGATAAACATCCGAACACCATTAAAACTAAACCAACTTAAAACAGAACACATAAAGATAGAACAACAGGCGTTTATGTTTGTTTCTAATTAAGCACAAAGCTACAAAATGGGATATCTGTGCTCTGCCCACGACGAGTATCGAAACTCGGTTTCGAGCGTTGCAAGTTCGCAGACATGCCGCTGTGCCACTAGAGGGCGGGCGTTTATGTTATACCATGCCAATCCTGTAAGAAAGGTTATGTAGGTGAAACTGGAAAGTCTTGAAACGAGAATTTCTGAACATAAATTAAATACCGGAACACAAACGATGACATTTTTCTTTATACGAGAGATTCTGACGATCAAATCGATTGGAAATCAACAATAACTTTATACAAAACAGATAGCTACATAGAAAGAAGGATCATTAAAAGCCTTAATCAATATCTCGACTATTTTCAACACCCACATGGTCACTAAAATAAATAAATTCGTGATCTCCTGTGTTCGTAATGAAATTTAAAGTGTCGGAGTATCACGTAGGCGTTGTTGGTCAGCCCCCCCCCCCTCCATACTAACTCGGAGCTTTGACAGAGTAAAAACCGAGTATTTAGAAGGAAAAGTTCTAAATGTATGTAGTTGACCGCAATTCGAGTCAGATTTTAACCCTAGCCCTTCCTATAACATCATTTGTTACTATGGTTTTCAAACGAGACCCAAAACTCGAGCGCTGAAGAAGAACAGTGAACTATTCGAAAGCGCTCAATTTTTTGGTTTCGTTTGAAAATTATTACAACTTTTGTATGCGATACTGTGAGCTAACTTCTATCAGAAGCATTTGGTACTACTTAGTTATCACATAACAACGCTGTCACCGATCTTAAACTGGACAGGAATATCTTAAACATCTTTCTGGTAATAATATACAGTTGAAGCAAGGAGTTTCGGGAAACATTAGTTTTAAAACTAGAGAAATCGTCATTGTTCCGAAGTTAGTGATCTTGTTAGAAGCTAATTTTCTGATCAAGTTTGTTTCAACTGTTTGAACATGTACCAAATATGGAAAACCGAATCGTCGATATCTCATCAATACAGACCTGAAAAAAAAAGTCTACATAATTAAAGACAGGCATGTTTTAAACACACGCGCAATCAACGTGGGAACTATTGTAGGCTACTTTCAAAATTGTTTACAGATCAGATTCTAGGTGCAAATCAACGTGCCCTTAACATTTTTTACGTCCAATCACTAAATGATTTAATCATCACGTGATCTCAACGACTCATGAAATGGCAACTTCTTTAGGCTAAAGCTTGCAAACTAGCTTTGTCAAATACACTGTTTGTTTGTTCTAGAGCAAAGACACATTGGGCCATCTGCTTTGTCCACCGCGGGGAATCGAACCTCGGATTTAGCGTTGTAGTTTCGTGAGCATATCACTGTCCCACCGGGGGACCAAATACGTTAACGAAATGATCTAAGTATTCAAAGTTGTGTGTAATATAGTAAACAGGCAACATTATTGTTTCGAACGCAACCTGGACATTTTGAGACACTGTCGGCCTGGACTTTACTAAATATCCTTTAGTTAACTACTTTTACATTACCCTATTTAAGACTGACATTATCTTAAATAATGATGGAATTTGAAACAATACAACAGAAAATGTATAATAGGGTTTTTTTATTATAATTTTCAAAAATATACATTAGTAAACAATATTATCGTAGACTAAGAAAATATTTAAAAGTTTTAGTATACGAAAGTAAGTAAAAAAGCCTACACACGTCTTCAATAAACGATGTAATATCATTGGTCAGTGTATTATAAACACACACGTCTTCAATAAACAATGTAATATCATTGGTCAGTGTATTATAAACACGCACGTCTTCAATAAACAATGTAATATCATTGGTCAGTGTATTATAAACACGCACGTCTTCAATAAACGATGTAATATCATTGGTCAGTGTATTATAAACACGCACGTCTTCAATAAACGATGTAATATCATTGGTCAGTGTATTATAAACACACACGTCTTCAATAAACGATGTAATATCATTGGTCAGTGTATTATAAACCACACGTCTTACAATAAACGATCTGTAATATACATTGGTCAGTGTATATAACTACACAACGTCTTACAATAACGACTTGATAATGTACATTAGGTCAGT